GTAGTCGTAGGTCAACCTCGTAGTCGTACGTATGAGCGATAATCATAAAAAATGGCAGATGAGCAATTTGTTGATGATTGCAGGAACATCGAAAGGTTTCTTGCGAATAGGAGTTATCCGGAAGGGATGAGTGACAACAAGAAGAGGGGGCTCCGAAAGAAAGCAGCCAACTTCAAGTTGAGTGTGACACATGATGGGCTCACAGAATTAGTCTATACAGGTAAGTTATGCATTGTGTTTCTGAAAAATTCCTAGGTAATAATACCCTACATCTATATCTTGATATCACATACGTACAACTGAGTACGAGTACGACTATGACTGAGTATGAGTATGACTACGAGGTCAACCTATCGATAGATCGACCTCGTAACCGAACTCAGTCAAGTGGGTATAGTCATAGATCTAACGTTAGATCTAGACTAGAGGAATCTAGTAGATCTAACGTTTAACTTGGACCTCTATGATAATATGCTTATGCCTGGCTTATTAATGGGTGTCTATTTTGCACTTGAAAATCATTTTCTTTGAAATCCTTAACTCTTAAGTTAAGTCTAACGTTCATTGTTTAAAACTAGAAGTCTCAAATAGATTTAGGCATTCCGGACAATGTCAGACTATATTTGATCAGTTTCATGCCAATTCTCTTTTTCCTACCAAAACTATAACCCAGCTTTAACATTCCTAATCTTTAATTGTCCTACTGGGGACTGAATATTAATGAGTCAGAACTAAGAGCCCCGGGGTATTTGTTCCTAATTCATCGTGTCTTCTCCGCAGAACCAGAGATGGCAACGTGGTGTAGTCGCTTCCGGATAGAGGTAGATGTTACGGGTTCGAATCCCTCCTGGGTCCAAGATTTTTATTATCCCTCTGGAGGGATACTTCCGTAACAAATGTGGTTTCCATTTGATAACTTTAGTAATGTTTGACGGAACTTCAATAAAATTTTATATGGAGGTACCTGGTATCAAAACACACCTCAATTTCGATTTCGGCCTATGTAGGTCAAAGGTCAAAGTTCATAGCTCATGAAAATATGCGAAAATGTGGTTTCCGTTCGATAACTTTTGTAATGTTTGACGGATTTTAATGAAATTTGGGATGAAGGTACACGGTATCAAAATACAGCCTAAGATTAATTTCGGAGTATTCAAGTTAAAGGTCGAAGGTCATAGGTCATTCAATAAAGTAATAAACATTCTGTTCATTCAGTCCCCAGATGTTAGTAATTTCATTCCATAAAGTAGTAAACATTCTGTTCATTCAGTCCCCAGATGTTAGTAATTTCCTTGCCTAGTAATAAGTCTAATGGAGGTATAAACTTGTTCTGACTATACATAGGCCATTTGTACCCTGCGAGGGGGATGCTACGCTTTGCGTTTCCTTGTTTTCGTTCATATGCAGATCGAGCATCCGATCTAACACAATGAGTGTTACAGTAAAAATTCTTTCTTAAGAAATCCTCTCGTGAAGCTTTAACATTCCAAGCATAAAGTTGTAATAACTATTGACGTAGCTACATGTACCTTATGATATTGATTGAGAATTAGGCCATATTAAGTTTATTATAAGAAATTAGAGAGAAGATTGATAAGGTGGCTGAAGACCAGACCCAGGCGGCCGACGACTGGCTCCATGAAATGAAATTGGTTTAAACAGTAATGAACACATTTAGAAAATAACAAGGTGCTTGCGACCAAGCCAATTACCTTGTAATGAAATAGGCACATAGACCCATGTGCACATGTTTGAAACAGGGACGGTAGTAGAATTGCGTCTTTAAAAGGGAATCTCGTATATGTGCTCGTTATAACGGGAGTAGACTGTGTATATGATTCCCTAAATTCCTTCACATGTCCCTCTTAGGTACCTTCCCCCTTATAAAACCACCTCTCATTTGGGACCCTTTGAAATAAAATTTAAATTTCCCCCTGCCCCCCCCCCCACTAACGCAACCCTTGTTACGCTGTCCCATATCCCCTTTTTTTTCCCTTATTTTTCTTTTTTGCTGCGTTACATGCATGCAGGCTCATGGTTTCTTTTTTAATTTTTTTTTATGGATGATCAGTTAATCACAAGTATTTCCTTACACCACACTGACTGGCTTCACAGTTTCTACATCGAAAGCACATGAGAATAAAGATAACCACTCCATGCAGGCCAGTTACATGGGCAATGAGAAAATTATCTGAAATTTCAGAGAATGAGGCCTTTCTGAGACTGAAGTATTTTAATTTAAAAAAAAAAGGGAAAGAAAAAAAAGTGTAACTTACAGATGGGACACCCATCACAGATTCAAAGGGCATGCTTACAAGGGAAATGCATAAAAGGTACAAGGGCCACTTTGTCAAAGTATAAGGTGCACGTAGCAACTGTGACAATTGATATTAAAATGGCACTTGGAATAAGTAAGGAAAGGGTGCGCACTACAGCGGCGGATCCAGGATTCGAAAATAGGGGCCGGGCGCAGCCCGAAAATTTGAAAAACGGGGGGGGGGGGCAGGCGATAGTTTTCTGATATTAGGCCTACATGTACGTGAAAATGTACGTGAAATTAGTGGTTTCCAAACAAGGGGGCGCAACAGATCTGCCACTGTATGTAGCGGATTGGGGGGGGGGGGGTATAGACACACTATGCTATGGCTCTGTTTAACACTAACTTTTGTCGGCTAGTACCAAGGGTTGAAAATTCAACAACATATGTCGGGTTTTTCTTTTATTTCTTTTTTTTTTATTCTGCCGGACACGTCTTTTACTTGAGGAATTTTCTTTCTCTTCTTTTCTTCTTCTTTTTTTTTTTATTGGTCCTTCTTAATTATCAGCTCGACCACTCATTTCTTTTTGTGTTGACCCCGGCCCCCCCACCCCACCCCGCATCTCTTTCATTTAAAGGCACACTGTCCTACTTGTAGCTACTTGCTCCCTCTATATAGAAAACTTCCCAAATCGGTGCCTGTTGGTCCCCCATGATCCTCTTTTTTATGTTAAATGAGAGCTGAGTTAATGAGATAGCCACCTGTCACAGTGACCTTGTTGGCTCGCTGTGTGGTCTAATCCCTTCTAGCTGCAGTAGTAACGCCTACCTTTAAACTACATGTACATCATGCATGCAGCCCACATGCATAATTAGATTCTGTGATGAAGCCCGGTAATAGGTGGTTGACGTAACACGATATCATATAAAGCAGCATTCAAACCAAATTAGAAGGCCTGATTTGAAAACACCCCGACATCTGCTTTTACAGGCAAACTAAGCCTATGGCAACAACTGCCCTTTTTGCTAGACCACCCAGTCCCCGTCGCTTCGCGACGGCGCTGTCTATAGTTACTGTTTGTGGTCAATCATTGGCCGCAATTATCAACATATTTGAACAACGGGAAACTGCATTTCTATACAAAGTTCTCAAATTGGCAATCGTTGGTGTAGCTAATTTGGAGAAGTTTGATTGGTTGCAAAGGCCGACCAGAATAGTTCATTTTGCTTTAGGGGTGTACCATGGCGTGTATTCAATAATACGTGAGCACGCACGCTCTCCGATGAGATTCGGAACGGATCGGCGGCTAAATATATCCCGCCGATTGGTTCCACGGAATGAATCGCCTGGCCGGAACCGATCGCCTGTGACTAGCGGAACGAATCTACGAATCCGGAACAAATCGTCGGGTACATATCCAGGCGATCGGTTCCGGAGGAACCGATCGCCTGCACGGAACAAATCGCCTATGACACCGGCATGATATTGACCCCCCAGTTTTCGCAACCTAGGTTTGGACGCTACGCGGACATTCTCGATCTGAGTGCGACCCGCTAAGATTAGCGTTACATACCCATAGTCATACATGGATATCGGCTGAATTAGCGTCGGGGGTCAAGCTAGTACGGGGTGGCGTGATCAGCCAATCAGAGCGCTTGTTTACCTGAGATTTTGGGAACACGCATGCGCTCGATTCCTCAGGTCCTGGTCTTATCTATCGTTGCGCTGCTCGCTGTGCCTGAACTCACATCTGATCCAGTGTCGGTTCACGTCGATCCGTTCGCTAAAAAGCCAATCAGAGCGTTTGTTTACCTGAGATTTTGGGAACACGCATGCGCTCGATTCCTCAGATCCCAGAGTGGGGGAGGGGGGGGGGGGGAGGGGGGGGGGATTGACAAGATGGATAGACCAGGACAATGAAAGCTAAGGACTAACTACATGTAGGAGTCTAGATCTGATCAAAAACCAGAGTGTAACTTTGACTTTCAGACTTATCAAGAAATAATCTACTCTGTGTTTGTAGATACTTTGCGTCCTACTAAGTATTATTATAACTCTGTCTCTGATATTGATATTAATGTCATTCATTGTGCATTTCAGTTCAACATAGATATAATGATCATGTATAGGCCTATCCATGTATCACTATGGGTATGTAATGGCAGCTAATACTACTATGCCTATCAGGAGCGTACGCAGGGGGGGGGGGGGGGGGGGGGGGGTTGAACCCCCCTTTACCTTTTGTATGTGTTCGTTTTGGAGACCCCCCCTTTGTTTACACAAAATAATAATAATTACAAAAAAACAAAAAAAATTGGTAATAAGTGACCGAAAAAGTTGACCCCCCCCCCAAACGAAACGAAATATCGATCGGCCAAATTTTCAAATTTTGAGACACAACAAAAAAATATAAAAATGTGCCCTTTCCTGACCGTTTCATTAGACATTTTCCAGGGGCGTTTTATGTAACTTTGAAAGATGACGTTCAACCTGTGGTGCATTCTGCCAGGAAACTACCGATCCACTTGAAGGATGAGCTCAAAGATGAGCTAGACAGGATGCAGGATTTAGGTGTCATCAAAAGAGTCACAGAGCCAACTGACTGGGTATCGTCTCTAGCAGACAGTAGGAAGTCAAATGAGAAGCTGGGAGTGTGCTTAGACCCCAAGGACTTGAACAGAACAAGACCCCAACACTGGAAGAGATTACTCACAAGCTAAGCGGTCCCAAGGGTTTTACAAGATGTATGGTTGTCATTGGTACTGGGGTGTGGATCTTGACAGAGAATCCAATCTGCTAACTACATTTAATGCTCTATATGGCCGTTACAGGTACAGACGGTTGCCTTTTGGACTTAATTTTTCTCAGGACATATTCCGAGAGAAGATGGACTACATCTTGGAACAGTGTGAGGGTACCATCGGCATAGCAGATGACGTTGTCGTGTACGGGAAGAATGCAGATGAACACGATAGGAACATGGTGAAGCTGATGAATGTATCCAAAGAATATGGGCTAGTGTTCAACCTTGAGAAGTGTGATTGCAAGATCCCCTCAGTCAAGTTCTTTGGGTGCTACTATGATGCACACGTCGTGCACGCTGACCCAGACATTGAAGCCAGCATAAGAGCACTTCCTTCTTCGCAGAATGTGAGGGACCTTCAGAGGTTTCTCGGGATGATACAGCTATAAAGTACCTGTCCCCATTCATGCCACGACCGGCTGAGCATACCGATGTTTTACGGAGCCTGAACCATACCGGTAGTGTGTGGCAATGGAATGCCACACATCAAACTAATCTAAAAGAAAACATCACTGAGTATACAATCCTGACATATTACGACCCATCAAAACAAACATCAGTACATGTAGACGCCTCTCTGAGAGGACGTGTGGCAGCTCGAGGACAAAGAGCATGTGGCATTTGCAAGCAAGGTACTAAACCCAACTAAACAACGATACGCTAACATAGAAAGTTTTTGGATGCACACGTATTTCATGTATGGGTCAAACTTTACCATATAGTCGGGCCACAAGCCAATGGAGAACATACAGCACAAGGATATTGATAAAACTCCACCAAGGTTGCAGAGAACGATGCTGTGAATACAGCCCTATAACTTCAAGATTATGTACCGACCACGCAAGGGGATGTTACTTGCTGACGCACTCTCGCGTCTGAACCATACAAAGGCATCTACAATGGGTTTTTACATGACCATACACACCGTCCACTATTCTAACTCTAAGCTGGAAGAGATCAGACTCAACACAAGCACAGACAGCACTCTAAAGAAGCTGCTACACACAGTGATTGAAGGATGGCCACAGTGTTCAGGTCTTCCGAACGAGATCAGACAGTTTTGGTCATGCCGTGACACACTCTCTGAGGAAGACGGTATTCTTCTAAAAGGAGATCGCGTGATGATACCCCCTACGCTCAGGAAGGAGATACCTGAACAGATCCACACAGGACAACACGGAATAGTGAAATCTCAACAGAGGGCCAGCTCTGCAGTGTATTGGCCTGGAATCAACAAGGATGTTGACGAGATGACACAAGCTTGTACCACGTGCCAAACCCTTCAGAGAAAGCAGTCACCTGAACCACTTCTCAGTCACAAGGTTCATGATAGACCATGGGAAGTAGTTGGGACATACTTGTTCAGCTTCGAAGACAGGGAATATTTGATTGTCTCAGATTATTTCTCAAAAAATGCCCATTTGTGTAACAGGTGACTGGGAGATGCACGAGTGATGCAGTCATTCAACTTACTAAAGCCATCTTTAGTGAACATGGTATTCCAGACGAGGTGATCAGTGACAGCGGTCCCCAATTGGCTAGTCAGGAATACGAAGTATTCAGTAAAACATGGGGATTTGAGCACACAACCTCCATTCCACACTACCCAAGAAGCAATGGTTTTGTCGAGAGATCGACATGCACAGACGGTCAATAACCTGATGCGCAAGTGTCTGGAGAACAAGGAAGACATATACCTGGAAATGTTATGTCTTCGAACAACACCTCTAGATAGCAATCTTCCATCTCCAACAGAGATACTCTATAGATGGAAGAACGATAAGGACTAACCTTCCTGCATCCAACAATCGTGAAATACAGAGTCCGAAAGACAGTCGCCAACTGTTCAAGGAAAGGAGAAGGAAGCAGAGACAACATCACGACGAACATGGTGTCAGAGAGTTAAGAGACCTCCAAATTGGACAGAAGGCTACAGCCCTAGATCAGCGATCTGGACGTTGCAGTCCAGTGACTGTGAAAACCGTTTGCAAAAAACCAAGGTTCTACATAGTTCAAACTCCAAATGGTGGTCTTCTACGAAGAAACAGAAATCATCTGAGAGACTTGAACATGCCAACTAAGAAAGTTCAAGATAAACCAGTAACTGACCATGCTGCCCATGTACAGAACCTGGCAGACACTCACAACACCAACCAAAACACAAAACCTGACATGACCACAACAAATCAAACGAAAACTCACACAAGTAGAAGTGGTGGTGTTGTCAGATCACCAAGACGACTTGTTGAACAGTAATTTATTACTGAGTTAGTTATGGCTTTCCAACGTGTTGATAATCTGATTTCAAAACAAGTTATTTAAGTGTAGTTAACTTATGAATAAATTATGTGTTATCATGTTTTAGTTATGTGATGTTGTATCATTTGCCAACAACTATGCTTAATATATATATATAGATAAACAATTAAACGAAAAAAGAGGAGAAATGAAAAATGTTATATATCTTGAATGATAAGTATCTTGGTATATTTTAAATGCACACACATCCTCACTCACACGCGCACACCAATATACGAGTTGTTTCGGTTGCGTTCTTCCCCTCTCTCTGCATGATCACTATTTAGATGTTTACAATCATGACAATAGGCCTACACATATTGAACGATAAAAGTAAGGAAACATATTTATTACCGTATCTACGTACATCTAAATGAGTGACTGATCGTGAGCCAACTGGCCTTGGCCTACATGTACATCTACCATGACTTCACACAAGGCTTCTTTTATCATTTGAGTATGTTCCCATTTGACACAATTATTTTAATATATACATTTTAGGAACTGAGCAATAGTTCAATGGAAACATGTATGAGATGGACATATCAATAACGGTTATATAAAAACGACTCAAGATTAAATACATGAAATATGATAACATAAGATAGATAAGATTAGAAACAACCACAAATAACCTAACAAAGAAGAATATTAGCTTGAACACCAAATTTATGTTTGAAACACATGTAGCAAATCATATGCAGTATTGCAATGTCATAATGGAAGGGTACCTGGAATGTTTTTACCACGGTATGACATAGTTTAATAGATGTTCTTGAAGGAATCTGTTATAATATCATAACATGTTGTGTTTTAATAAGCAGACAGTGTAGTAATATGTAAGTTCATGAGATCACCCCAAAAAGAAGACGTTGTCGCAGTCTTGCTGGGAAAAATATCACGTGCGTACCCTACAAGGCTTGAGAGCTGAATGTGTTTTATTATAAGCAGAAAGTGTTTTATACTCTTAAGTTTAGGGATCTTCAAAATAAGAAGAAAATGTGGCAGTCTTGCTGAAAGTCACATGCACAGCCCACATGGGTTTATGGAACTAGTACATGCAAATACATCACATACGCACACACACAAGTGTGGAATGACAGTTTGATCCGAAATCTTTCGCTATTTCTTGTCATATATCTAATTTGAAGAATTAAAGATATTTATTTTTCTTCTGTGAAGTGCTTCTAAAGAAACCAATAAAGGGTTTGCGCAGTTCCATCTGGTCTTCGCGTCGTATCACGTTGTCAGGTTAACGAAGTTTCCCAAAAGCATTGCGGAAGCTAACAAATGATTTTCACCTTTACCAAAGCTTAACGTTCTCTCTATTAAAGTCGTTAATAGGTACGATGCCTATTAACTTGGTACCTAGCACGTCTGGTTCCTAGGTATCTCCGTCTGGTCTTCCATATCCTTATCATCCATTAGCCCACATCCCGTTCCATGACAGACTGTTGATATGGCCTAATCGCCAGAATTCCACGTAGTTTATATTTCATCGACTACATAATTTAGAATAACGTTATTTACTGCTTACCACCAGGTCGTTACATTAGATTGAAATAACAATGTTATACTTAGCGGACAAGAAATTGGATTTAATGTCATGAATAAAAAGGAGAACAAATCTATGAAACCTACATACTCCATGGACAACTGAAAAGTGTACAGGGTGAATCAAAGGCCAAGATGAGATCATATGAGACCAAATGCAAGTACACAAACTAATGAAATACGAATAGACAAGGTTGGACAAATTTTTATTGGCTCGAATTACAACTAATCATCCTTAATATACATAATTTTCTAAGTTCAGTACATCACAATAAAAAAGTAAGAGTGAAAATATATGAAAACAGATACAAACAAAATGTTATAGAACTTAATATGATAACCATATACAGTGAATTGTATATTATATAAATCAATGTTTATAATTGTTTATTTATGTTTGTATTATTTTCATATTAATTCATTTACTTCGTTATTCTTTTATGCATTCATTTACCTATTTATTTATTCCAAAATTACGCTAGATACACAAATAACAACAAGCGTTGCAGCTTTTTAAATGAAATTATTCGATTCTTCTGCTCCGAATGAATTTCTTTTTTGTAAGTACAGTGAAAAATAAAATTTAAATATTGAATAATTGATCTAACTAATACTTGTTCGACATATTAAAGTATACAAATAAATCAAAATTGCTCCGGTTATAATAAGTGACTCATGAAATAATTACTAGATTTGATTTTTTTTCTATATCCTGATATCTTGCCCCAAAATATATTCAAATCTACGCTAAAAAACATCGCGCCCTGAATGCTGTTCTTGTAATATTTAGATGATGTTTATCGTTGAAAATATTAACGCGTTTTGTTGTGGCTTAACCTGGTTCACATTACAAAAAATACAATATGGTTCGGTTAATGATTGTAGACGTTATGTCTATGACTGTTCTCAACCATGCAGGCAGTAGATAAAGAACATCAAATATTATTTAAACGAATTACTGGATTTACGTTGTTTTTGCTTCTGAGGACTTACGTCAACTACGGGACGCTTCATCAGGACGGGCCTTTGGCAGGTTAACAAAGAAAGGTTTTTTTTAATTTTTTTATCCAAGATGGTGGATTCCTTGTTAGGTTTCCCACCTGGAGATATGTTTTCAGGAAGGAATTGCTCTTCATGGCTGGACGATTGTTTAGAAGGTTGAATGCTACTTAAATTAGTCATATTATCACCAGCATGAAACTTATTTAGAGGCCACGTCTTCAGAAGTCACGTCAAAAGCAACCAAGTTATCTGTACTGCGCTCCGGTGATTGGTCAGGATGTTGACCCTTACTTCCATCTGTCAAGTCCTCCTGGTTCTTGGAAGTCATGTCTCCTGTATGAAACGATTACCAAGGCTATTTTATCTGCATTACGTCACCTCGATATTTCTATCAATAGTTTAAACGTGGAAAATGGACTTGCTTTAGAAAATACCTTATGCACATGGGCCATATTGTCTAAACAATATAACAGAAAATAGCGTGTTGCTGAAGTATTCAATGTGGTTTTTATTATGGGAATTATATTCTTCTTAATGCAAACATTTACATTACCTTTGCTGAGATACAGGTCTGCAATGTTGACCAACTTGGCAGCATGGAGTGCCTTCCTGAGCTCCATCCGTTCGTCTTCCCTGGACACACTTCTTCTCCATTGTCTCAGCATATGACGAGTTCCATCACTGGTAACTTGTGTAAACCTCATATTGGTCTTGAGCGCTCTCTGTATATCACCCTGTATGATTCCCAGATGACCACCAAGGCTTTCAATCTTGGCTTCGTCGGAAAGGTCGTCAGCTATCTTCTGTGAGATGTTTGCAAACTCATCGTCTGGGGGCTCCTCTCTAGAATGGAACACGGTATACAAAACAAACTCATAAGGGAGGCCAGCGAGCGTACTAATAATCGGGTATGCTCGCTAAAATGTAATTAAAACCATTAGTTAGCTAAAGAAAAAAAAGGATAAAACAAAGTTACACAGATAATGAGACCATACTTTCTTTCATATCTTATTGTAACATAGCACGAATAGTAATAAGATACAAATTATGTTAATATATCGTCCCAAAAGAAAGCATTCTGTATTTGTACATATTCACATTATATAGCCCATACTGATCCATTTTTCTATAAACTAAAAACATTAAAAATTGCTGATATTCATATTTTTGAAACTGCAATCTTTATGCATTTCGGAATATTCGTGTGTAAAAAAGTAATACACTTTCTTATCCTACACGGCACTCACCCGACTTCCATTTAACTAACACAAAACATATTATGGCCAATAAATCGATAATTAAGACATCATGGTCCGGATATTTGGAATGCTTTATCTGACAATATTAAACACTTTGCATCTCTTTATTCATTTAAAGTCTCGATGAAAAAATATTCGCTATCCAAGTATTCATAAACATTATAAGGGTCTTAACGGTCTTAATCGTTTGTTCATATATACTAATTTAAGATGACCAGTTCATGAACAAAACGAATCCAAAACTTACTTCACTTGCACACGCCCACATCCACACACTTGGAGTCCCCTCTTTCTTTTCTTCTGCCAACTTTTTATTTAGATATTTTCTGTAAAAGAATCTTTATACTTGACACTCTATTCTCCTACATGTACATACTCCTATAAAAGCGTCATGTTCCCCTCCCCCTTTCCCAGCTGCTATCCGACTCAATCATTCATGTTTATGATAGTTCGTCTGTGCATTTATTCTTAATGTATGATTTACCTCCATACTTTCAAGTTTTCAAGTATATCTTTGTATATTCTTTTGTTGGATTTTTGTTGTCACATTTTATGTGAATCAATTATATACTATTATTTTTATTTGAATATTTTGTGTCAAGAAACATCTGCCTAAAAGAAAAAAATCAACGTCCTTAATTTTTGTATAATAGTTTATCACAGGAATCCACTTTTAACTCCGTTCACCATAACCTGGAATGCAGCTACGCCTACGAAGCACATTATTTTGTGTACTAAGCTGTAATTTGTATATGCTTCTACTTCTACATAAACTCAAAGTGGTCATATAAGAAATAATTTTATAACAAGATAAACAAAACTGAATATGAACAAATATAAATGTTCTAAAATTGACTCTGGATATTTATGGAAAATAACTGCATGTAAAACCGTCATTAAACGTCTAGCACCACTCATGTCACACACAAAATGTATTAAAAAAAATAATACATTCCCAATAAGTTTTGTCACTAAAAAAAGAAAAAGAAAATCACTGTCATGTGAAAATCACTGTCATGTAAAGAGTAAAGTTATTTCATCTCACCCTGCTTGTAAAGTATCTCTGCTTCCCATTCCTGCGGTTGAATTATCCTCAGATGATGATGTGCCTGGCACGAAGGAATGAAGTCCGATTGAAAGAAGACAAAATATATAAGAGAAAATGTTTTGAATGATCTTTATCGTTCACTGTATCTCTAAGTTTAATCGTAAATTGTAAATAATGCACAAGCCTTACACTGCTCGAGTTTCACTGGATAATGTAATGGAATGAGTTTTTTTTTAAACAACAACAACAGCAAAAAGCATATCAATTTCATTTTGAGATAATCTTTTGGCTGTGCTAAGCTGATATTTTAAGGTACATGTATTTCCATAGTAGCAAAAATTGGGGTAGGGAGCTATAGAGACAATATTGGACTTGAAAAGCCTAATATTATAAGTATTTTTAAACAAGTAGACAGTAATGAGATGAGAGTTATATTGTTTAACGTAAGATCCAAAAGTAGTTAAAAATTAACATATATTGGAAAATAAAGTCTTACCACCTTGAGCTTGTTTTCCGGAGGTCACCACCTTCTGCTCTGCTGATCGTATCTCACTTTCTAGTTGAATCTTGGATCTCAGCATCCAGTTCTCACGCTCAAGTTGCTCCATAAACTTTTCCTTAGACTCAAGCTCCTGTTTTTCCTTCTCAAATCGCGCTCTGTCTCCCTCTCTTCCTTTCTTTAACTCTTCGATTTGCTGTTTTAGAATCGTCTCATTTCCCCCCTTTTCCACTACGATATCTGTCAAAGTTTCTACATGCTGTCGCTTAGACTCGAGTTTCTTCGTCATTTCCGCTGCCAGTGAGCGCTTCTCTTTCACAGCCCTTGCTCTGTCTTCCTCTCGTCCTTTCGTTAATTCTTCAACTTGCTGTCTTAGTGTCGTCTCATTCTGCTCTTTCTCCCCTAGGGTTTCTGTTAAAGTGTCTATACGTTGTTGCTTAGACTCAAGTTTCTTCGTCATTTCTGTTGCCATTGAGCGCTTCTCTTTCTCACTTCTTGCTCTGTCTCCCTCTCTTCCTTCCGTTAATTCTTCAACTTGCTGTCTTAGAGTCGTCACGTTTCGCTCTTTCTTCTGTACAATTTCTGTCAAAGTGTCTACACCTTGTTGCTTAAATTCGAGTTTCTTCGTCATTTCTGCTGCCAATGAGCGCTTCTCTTTCTCACCTCTTGTTCTGTCTTCCTCTCGTCCTTTCGTTAATTCTTCAACTTGCTGTCTTAGAGTCGTCTCAATTTGCTCTTTCTCCCCTACAGTTTCTGTCAAAGTTTCTACATGCTGTTGCTTAGACTCGAGTTTCTTCGTCATTTCTGCTGCTAGTGAGCGCTTCTCTTTCTCACCTCTTGCTCTGTCTTCCTCTCGTCCTTTCGTTAATTCTGCAACGTGTCGTTTTAGAGTCGTCTCGTTCCGCTCTTTCTCCTGTACAATATTCGTCATTTCTGCTGTCATTGAGCGCTTCTCTTTCTCACCTCTTGCTCTGTCTTCCTCTCGTCCTTTCGTTAATTCTGCAACGTGTCGTTTTAGAGTCGTCTCGTTCCGCTCTTTCTCCTGTACAATATTCGTCATTTCTGCTGTCATTGAGCGCTTCTCTTTCTCACTTCTTGCTCTGTCTCCCTCTCGTCCTTTCGTTAATTCTTCAACTTGCTGTCTTAGAGTCGTCTCATTTCGCTCTTTCTCCTGTACAATATTCGTCATTTCTGCTGCCAGTGAGCGCTTCTCTTTCTCAGCTCTTGCTCTGTCTCCCTCTCTTGCTTGCTTTAATTCTTCCACTTGCTGTCTTAGAGTCGTCTCATTACGCTCTTTCTCCCCTACGGTTTCTGCCAAAGTTTCTACATGCTGTTGCTTAGACTCGAGTTTCTTCGTCAATTCTGCTGCCAGTGAGCGCTTCTCTTTCCCAGCCCTTGCTCTTTCGTCCTTCTTTTCACTCTGTAGTCGCTCAACCTCACGTCTTGCCTCTTTCTTGGTTTTCTCATAGAGCGACTTACACCTTGGATTCTTGCATATGTTCTTCAGATCATTAGTTGCTAACGCTATGTCACCTTCTTGGAGGCAACCATGTAGAAGGTCAAGCCACTGGAACTGTTCCTCATCCGAGCGAATGTCACCAGGCAAAGTTATTTCGTACATATCAGTGATCCCGAGTTGCTTTAATTCATTTCTAGCTTTGGGGATGTCTCCAGAAGGAAGTATAGCACATAGAGGGGCGCTTCCTATCCAATCGAAACATATCCAAGAAGTTTAATCGAAATTAAGTCCTAAGTCATGATAATTTTATGTCATCTACATACCACAAATACTTCACATAATATATTTTGTTTGTGGGGGGGGGGGGGGGGGGTGACACAAAGGAATGGACAAAATCTGAAATGCTTCTTCATCACTATGTGTGTTTATCAGTATTCTCAGTGGCATAGAATATGCTGCCATATTTAAGTTGTAAATAGATGGGCAAAATCGAGAGAAAAAGGTAGGGATTAAGGAAGAAAGAACGAGAGAGGGAGAGAGAGAAAGAAGGGTGTTAAAGGAAGGAGAATAAAATTGGAGCCGAAATAAGAAGTAAATGTAGTAAATGTTGAAATTAATGAGATATTTATAATATTCATGGTAGAAAAGTTATTCGGGACAATCATGATAGAATAGACTGATGAAAGTGTTCATTTTATTGTTGAGTTCGATTGATATAATACCGGTATAGTGTAAGCATTGTCATATTTATATTTATCTTTAATCACCCCCATGCCTGTGATCGAAATTAGAAAGCTGTATCCCAGACGCGTCTTATTTTTTCGTACCCCAGCGAGCCCAGTTTCCAGTATGAACTCATTTTCATACATGACTACTTAATACTTAATTACAATTTTTCTAATGTTACAGTTAATTGAATTCAAGTATCTGTATACATTTTATTTGTTTATATGTCAACATTTATTCATTTTTGCTAGCAATATTTCATATCTTGTATTTTTAATTTTTTTTTTTTTTTTTTTTTTTTTTTTTTTTGTTACTACTTTAATGTTTTTAACTTAAAAATGTATTCATTGTTATATATTTGTCCTCATTTACTATGTTATCTTTATGTTTTTGAATGTTTTTTTATATTGATGTAAACTTGCATTTTTAGTCTTCGGACTTGTTGACAAGTAATGAATAAAACCTTATTTGAACTTGAACTTGAACTGACTAGCTACGAAAGCTTGCAAAGAGGTCACAAACATTTAGACTTTTATTATTATTGCTTTGCCTCACTATTATAAAGGCAAAAGAGCTGAATAAATACTTAGATTCGAACCCTCAAGTCAAGTTCTATTAGTAATATGCTGGCCTTACCGATCGAGCTAACGATGAGTTGATGACAAGTTGATTTGTATAATTACTATCATCCTATTAACAACCCTACCGGATTCTATGTGCGCATGCGCTGGTTTACTTCGCGAGTGCGCATGTGCAGGTTACCTTCGCGAGCTCAATCTGGGCTCGCTGAGGTACCAAAAAATAAGACGCATCCCGTACAAGGAAAATGATATTAAGCACCTTAAATATTAAAGTATATAAGGAGGTATGTGAAAGATATTATTATATTGTATGCTTAATTTATTCATTCAAATATAGCGTCATAATCGTTCCATCATTTATGTTTAAATTTTTGGCTTTGGATTATCAGACCATTGGATTATGTCTCACACACAGATCCACGGTTAACCATGTCAACATGGGGGCCGGGTAGACGTTTTCGGGGAATGCTACATAATAAACACCATGTATGTTTTAAAGGAATTAACCAGGTCGGTCTAAAAACACAAAATTTTGTAAAATCACAGTGATTTTTTGGTTGATATGATACGTGCATGCATAACAAATCTGATAGAAAATCAAACATTTCAATGGATGCTATATGATTACTATTTAATAAGGAAATAGGCTATATCATAATCCCGTAGACTTATTAAGGAATATAGACCTGAATAACAACAGGTAAGAATCAAAATGCAATTCACGAAGGAAGGAAAGGATATTACATTTGAGGACATTTATCGGACACAAAACACCATATACGTGAACAAAATTTACCAACCTGCACACAAGTTGTATGCGTGAAAGTAACCTGGCTAGAAATATTATTTATTTTTTCATATCTTCATGTATTCATTCATTTAATTAATAGGGTGGTGTGTATCACCGCATTGTTGTGTATATGGTGTGTATCAACGGTGTAATTGTTCATAAGCAAAATTGTTTAAATATACACCTTCATATGTCTTTAGTTTATTGTCTTACCTACCGTTAAGGATAAGGAGCAAACTCACCTGTTACCCCCTTTATCACCGTGATCCATTCTTTGATATCTTCAATATCTTTCGGGCTGAAGATAACAAATTAGAAAATACCCCGATCGAGAATCATTATTAGTTTTCAAGGAAAGGTGAGTTTTGGGTATGTTATTATTATCATAATTTGAGTTTCTGCCCTAATTAATTAATAAATTAATTAACTAATACTTTAATAATTTTGTCTTACTAAGCGCGTTTACAGATTTTCGACCAAAGTGCTAAAACCATTTGTTAAACTTCATTTTTAATTTTTTTTCTTCTTTAGATTTGCGATTAAATAAATTATTATTTGATTTCAGTCAAAATATATATGGCTCATGAAATATGAGGAGCGAAAAAATAATACTCACTCAATTAACAACACCATACATCCAACCTTCCCAGCACGGTCTTGTACATCTTCTTCGTCTAAATCTGGTAAGATGGTAAGAGAGAACTTATTTGACACATTGTACATGGTGCAACACAAATGGCAGGTGAAAGAGTTGCATGGCGTGCTCTCAAGCGCCACCTGAAGTTGATGATGATGATGTACATGGTGAACCTTTCGGATACTCCGAACATGATATTTAGCCTACGTGCAGAAGTAGAGAGAGAACGAAGTACTGAAAGTTTGTGTAGTTATATACATTACATGCAATGTGCCAGAGTAAAGCAAATGGGCGAATTGTTTGTGCAAAACGATTAAAAGGAAACAACACAAAATAATATTAGCTGATGTGGCTGATGTGTCAGATGTGATCATTCACAAAGGAAAGGCCAGCACACAAACACATTAAAGTTCCTCTCTCAGCACTCTTTATGTTCATGTGACCATTGTACAATTGTAATTGTACAATTCCAAAACCAGAAATAGAAACACAATAACATCAAAATGAGGATGTTTGAAAAGCCCAATAAATCACTCCCTTTAAAGAAATGATACATCTATGTATCAACGCTGTTTGAGTTTCACGATATTGAAAACTTTGGCCCGAAATTAGACATTAAATCCCCGTATTAAATCCCTTGCCTCACGCAACATTTCACACCGGATCTGCGTAGAGATGCGTAGAGTGGCGTACCAAGTACGCCGAAATTAGGCTACGTATTTAGGACAAAAATGCTGCGTCGGGCGTAGTCCCGGCGTAGGTTATGCGTAGACTGGCGTACGATGGCGGATCGTTACTTACTCTGTGCATAGGCACTGCGTATCTACGGCGTATGCAATTGGCTTACCTACGCGTAAGATTGCGTATAACAGGCGTTGGGTTGCGTACGTTTACGTAGGCCTGACGTAAAGGGTACGTAGGTTCGCAGGTAGGATCTAGGTCACCTTTAAAAGCTTTCACTGCTTCGTCGGACTGGCGTAGGGTAGCGTACTATTGCGTAGGTATGGCAGACAGTAGCGCTGTGTTACGTAATATTACGTAGACTTGCGTACAAAATGCGTACCATATTGCTCACTTTGTCTCATTTTCGCTCGCTAAAACATTGCCAACACAAACCACTGACCTCTACCTCCTGGACGGATCATCGCCCATTCCCATTCACTATACGTTACGTACGAAAAGGCTGTATTATCTGACCGTTCATGAATATTCATGTTTTTGCTTACCTCGGCAACATGTTTGATTTAACTAAATGGAAAAATGACGGTGGGGGTTGGATGAAATGGACATTATGAACCAAGCAGAAGTGATCTATGATAAATCATGCTTCTTATCCTTCATGTGCTTGACCTACAATCTTAAAATCGCTTGGCAAACTGAGTCGACTTGTTTCACATGTGTATTATAGGCAATGACGAGCTTGCAACCTATTTTGATCAATTTTCAAAAGTCAATGGGACATGAGGGTTCCAATGAAAGAGCTAGTGATAACGTACGTCGGGGTGGATGTGCTTTTTTAACGATTTCTTTTGAACAATTCCATAGACTAACATGTTAGGCTGCTGACTCTGACGATAGGGGGCATTGTGAAATGAAAACGGAGCTATATGTTTCTGCGTCTAGTTTCTACGCCGAAAGTACGCGAATAAAATTAAACATGATTATTTGTTGCGTCCATCTGGCGTACCCTTTTGCGTCCCCCAGCGTATAGTTACGAAGCCGGCGTAGGGCAGCGTACGCTCGGCGTATTCGGTACGCCTCACTACGCAACTCTACGTATAGCCCGGTGTGAAAGGGGCTTAACCAGCAACCCTGTGACCTATGTTTGCACGCCTTTGTTTTCGAGAAACAAACAACGTTTGCAGCCCCTGCTCAGGGTGCTATCTATTATACGAAATAGGGGTGACCGCTGTACTTCACACAGGGACTCTCAACCCGAAATCACAGAGATTCATGATTTTTGTTCATGTACATTTAATACACTTTAATATTTCTTTCATTGCGTTACCCCATTCCTCCTTCCTTTCGCATTAGGCATACACTCTCTTACATTCGTAATCTCGTGACATTTCACCTGTTTCCTTCCTAGTTGTCTGACTCTTATAATTTCCATATCAGACCATTACCGTACATATAATTACACATGTGGGGCTTACTGTAATCTTTTGCAACGATAGTGGTTATCTGCAACTATATGATTGAATCAAGAGTAATTGAATATAATTTGCTATTAACGAATACCTAAATATCAAATATTGACTACCCCTTGATAGTAACGATGAGGTGTCATTAGCATCAAACTACTAGTTCAGTGTTATTTTCGATGAAAATCACAGGTACCAGGAGGAACGAATAAAACAAATCACACCACATACACGTGAAACCGCACACCCCTATTTTGTTGAATGGACTGCACTAATTATTTGTG